ACCAGGAAGCCTGGCAAACGTTGTTACCGAGGAAACCATATTATGGGTTTTTTAGGAAAAGGAAGAACGATCAATGGACAATACTACAGTGAGTTATTGGATCTCTTAGACAAAAAATTGAAGGAGACACGGACGCATTTGACGAAAAAAAAAGGTGCATTTTCAACACGATAACGCACCAGCACATTCATCAGGAGTTGTTGCCGCCAAACTGCATGAATTACGTTATTATTAACTGTTGCCGCACACCCCGTACTCACTCGATTTGCCTCCCTGCGACTTCGTTTTGTTCCCTACCATGAAGAAATGACTCGCGAGAAAAAAATTTAGCTCAAACGAGGAAGTCATCGCCGAGACAGGGGGATTTTGGAGAGTTCGACAAATCTTATTTTTTGGAGAGGTTAAAAAAATGGTAGGGACGTTGGGAGAAGTGTATCTTTCTAAAAGAGGACTATGTTGATAAATAAAACCAAAAAAATAAAAAAAAGAAGTGTCTTCATTTCTAACACGGGTACTTATTGAACCGCCCTCGTATATATTCTTATCTGAGATCAGGCACCATTTAAAGTGAGGTGATTTTGGCTTGGTGCAATCGAGTTAGATACTGGAACATATTTTGATTGATTTTGACACAAATGGAACTGTAAATTTTTTGTTACTCGTTGAATTTTATAAAAGATAAAGGTGATCTGATTGTGAGTTTACTTCAAACCACATCCAATCATGATGGATCTTGTGACCTGCGGTCTGGGCATAGCTTGAGCATTTTTTATTTGAAACCTCAAAAAAATAATCGTGGCGAAGCAATTTCGAACAATAAAGGAGCCCCTGCAAGCATCTAGAAGGACCTACAAAATAATTATTCAATATTCATTGGTTTCTTGATGGAACCCTATTTTGTATTCAGAAGTTTGTTTGTATTGTCATAAAAAAAGATAGCTATAGTGCTTTTGTTATTTCATCGATTGACAATATGGCCTCCTTCATTTATCATTCATGAGAAAATCTGAAATGAAAACACCTGACGTCATCTAAATCTATTTCAGTGCCGTAAAACTTCCATCGAAACTATTTCACGTAAATAAAACCTATTATCAAGTCAACAGTGGCAATGTAATTTATCAATTTATATTTACATTTGCAGTCATTAGTTCATTAGTAGACGGGAGCTTTGGGAAATTCACTCAGGTTTTAATAGTGGAAACCTTTCCCGTTATGGATATTTTTTTATGAAAGACGTGGGAGGCGCACACCGAGGCGGATCCTTGTGCAGAAGGACGAATGGGTGTGTCCTGCATAAGGATCAATACATGCTCTGCTATGTCAAATATTTAGCGGTGAATCGTATTAGTTGTAAAATAGCTAGGCAAAATGTTTTCGTTTCGATTTGTATGGAAACTGCTTAATGAGGAAATGACCGTTCCAAAATACAGTCGTTCGTCATCTATTTAGATTACTAATTCACTTTAATTGCCTAAATCTAATGTTAACTGTATTACATAACACAATCCCAAAATACCCCAAATATGTTTAGAAAAATTAAAACATCACCCGCAACTGAAAGCCTGATGGATGCTAAAATATTGCTCGAATCTTGGATATCTAACAGAATTTTGTTTATTGATTCTTGATTCTTTTTATGATAATTTCTATTGATAGTTGATGTACATAGGTAATTACTAAAATGTTATATTTTAACCAATAAATTACTTACTCGTGGTTAAGTCAGAAGGTTGAAAACTGTGATAAGACCGATGCTGAGCAATTTACTGCTATATATACTTAATTCCAGGCATATTATACAATTTAAAAAAAATGAGTTTAAAAGTGAACCTCCATCAGATGGTGAATGATGATGTGCATTTTATTAAGTATTTAGATTTCAGAAATAATTCATATGACATAAAGGATAAGGTGACATTTAGACGAATGTACCGAACATATCACCTATCGCATGAGCAAATTAGTCTAAAATTTACCTTTTGACTCCTATGTTTTTCATACATGTAACACTCTACTTTACATTGCTTCTCTCATTATCCAAACATACATAAAAAAATATAGTTTCGTCAAATTGACCTTCGAGGCCAATAGGTGAACTGATGCTGTTCTAATTGGGGTCTCCTAACGTATTGTTAGCAAGAGTGGCAAGCTTCTTCGGAGGTCTTTCCATCTTCGATGCTAGATGTGGACGACGGCCTCTAGACCCGAATCAAGACAACATCAGTTCATTTATTGTTTTTATGGAGAAGTGATGAAAGCACAGTTCAAGATAGGAGCGGCTGGTGTAGAGGTGGTGAAAAGTATGCACAAAAGGTACCCCAGCTAACGAGCCGTCAATGACTGAGAACAGTTGCCAGCTTGGTAGCCGCGTTATCTTTTTCTCTCTTTGATATTGCAAGCGTCAAGTGACGAAACACTGATACCTATTCGTGATCTTCGCAACAGCTGGTACACAGACTTGTCACTGCACGTGTAACGATTAGTAGTTATGTGGACCATTCGATTTTTAGAGTTATTGCTGTTACCACAAAATATAAAAATGAGTATAGTGTGAAAATATCAAACAAAAAACAATGTTTTATCGTAAGCGTCAAGTAATGAAACACTCATACCTTATCATGACCTTCGCAACAGCTGGTACACATACAGGTGTCAATTGCGCGTGTGACGATTAGTAGCTATTACCACAAATACAAAAATAAGTTGAGTGTGAAAATATCAGAAAAAAAAACAATGTGCTTCCACGTAGAATATGCGGACACTGTGGTTACGGTGCAATAAGTATGAACTGGCGACTTCACACAAATACGTGTCGTCATTGCCGGAGCAATTGGGGCTCGGTGTAAGATATCTCATTCTATTTCTTTTTCATATACCTTCTTCTCCCTTAATTTTTCCGGAGTACTGGTCAGATATAGCGTATAAGCTTTACGTAATTTTAGGATCCCATATAAACAAAAAGCATTGTTAGTAGCAATATTAATTACAAATAAATTTTTACTAACACTTGTAGAATTGTAGAATTTACGAAAATGCTGTTCGTGTAGTTGGCTAAAGTTTATTCCAAAGTTACTTTAAAGTTACTGTCATTTTATTATTCGGCATTGGGAATGGAATGGGAATAGCAAAAATCTATGTAATTATATCTTGTTTATTTAACAACAAATACATGATCAAACTTATTAGTAATTGCGGTAAAAATAAACCAGGGTCTTTTAATTTGGAGTATTGATCTGATGTTGTGTCAACATAGATTTTCTAATTTCTACATCTTTTTACTGCGTTCATAGCTCTAAGAAGGGGATACCTTGGTCCAAAATTACCATCAAAATCGTCTTCATCAATAGCCCAGTTCATAACGCCTCCAAGACCTTTCGAACAAACGAAATTTACCTAGAAAGGGAATCAGAGACATAAGATTAAAGGTTGGACACTTCCGTCATTCAGCCTTTATCGCGCAAAGGCTTTCTAATAAGACAACTGATTACTTAATACAGGATTTCTAAAAGTACCTATATTTATTTTCCGTTACCTTAGCTGAAATAGATCTCACGTTGTCGTAACCAACCCATTGGTTCCCTGAACATGCAAAAGGGGATTCGTAATTCTGATCATATGCTTCAGCCCATCCTTGCTGGATCTTTTCTAGGAAAAAATGGAGCACAACACACTTCCAACAGGATCGTGGAGGGGTGCATTTACTCCAGTGGAGCCATCCCAAGATCCATGTAAGTCGTAAGACATGAAATTGATCAGATCGACTGCACTGCAAATGAAATGATAGTATATAACCTTTTGCATTTGCATATTTGCTGTCATACGAATTTCCGATATTTTATCAAACTTGAGGAATCATTAATTTAGATAATGGCCATTACTCAAATTCATACTGGATTAATTAATGCAACTAGGTACATCAAAATGAAGAATTGATAAGAAGTGACTAATACGAGTTCAATTTAAAATGATATAATGCATGTTTTCCGAGCTTTGAGTACATCCCGAGAGATAGCCCTATCAAAGAATTGTGAAATCAAGTTTCCATCACCGATATGCGAGGTGAGGTCCATAAGTTCGCGGCAGGAAAGGGAAAGGGAGAAGCTAAAATTTTTCACTGTACATTTCGCCAATTAGGAATTCGTCGTTGGTATATAAGTAAAAGTTTAAGTCTATGACGTTATTCGTTTAAGAGTTGTCACCCTTCAAACAAGTCAATTGAACACCACGCTGTGATAAAGTTGCTGGCAAAGCAAGGGATAGTCAGCTCAGTTTATAATGAGCGAAATGAAAGTTAAACCTGAGTTCCCATAGGAATCGATACAATGGCACCCCTATGAAGCTCAAGATGGCAGAATCGGCTGGGAAGTGGGAAGAGCTACAGTTTTTGTAGACTGTGAAGGACTTTTACAAGTAAATTACAAAGAAAATGTTACCACAATCACTGGAAACTACTATGCTGCAATACTGGTAAAGTTAAAGGATGCCATTTGGGTAAAAAGAATAGGAAAATTGTCGAAATATGTGCTGCTCCTGCAGGATAATTCGCCAATGCACAAATACAGTGTTGCGATGACTTCTCTACACAAACAAGGATTCTATTCTCTAGTTTAACCATCTTGAAATCCAGACTTGGCTCCCACTAGTTTTTATTTATTTCCAGATTTGAAAAGGGAGCTTAGGGGCGAAAATTTTCTAATGACAATGAAGTCAAAAAAGCTGTTTCGGCCCGTTTTGAGGGCAAAAACAAAAAAAAAATTTGTTGGTTTAGAGAAGTTCTAGTCTGAAGAATAACTTTGTGTTTTAATTTTTTAACACTTTCATTCCGCGAATATCTGAACCTCTTTTCGTAGGTATATAAATTATTTTTCTGTTCTAAAAATGTCATAAACCATTGAATAATTGATTCATGCAGAATCTTAGTCATTTCACAACAATTTTTATGCCACTATAACAATTGTACGTAAATAGGTACAACAACATACTTTGAAAGTGCCGGGACGTCGTAAGCGTCGTCTATGTAAGAAGGTGATGGTTGTACTGCTACTGTAATTAAAAGTCCCAATGGTTCGAAAGCCGCCTTTACTTCTTGCAGCAGTGTAATCAAATTTTCCTAAATAAAAATTAGTCTGTTATTAATTTGTTAAGATGTAATGAATGGTTTATTGTTTTTAAATTTTACTTCATTATTCGAAAGGCCATTAATGAAACCTTTAAATCGAAGAGCAGAAAATATTTTTTTTGCGGAATATGATGCAAACAGATTTAAATCATGCAGCTTTGGAGGGACTTCATAATTTGTTATTAAAGAGGTCACCTTAGATATCTCCTTTTGCGGTTAATTATGAAAAATTATTGCTGTTGTCACACCCTCGTTGGGAATGGAACCCGGGACTTTTGGCTTTAGGCGCTAAATCTCTGACCATTAAGCTACAGACTATACTTCATTTACTTTCTCTAGCGATGTGCCCTTCCAATGTCTTGGATTCGCGCTGGCAAAATCGTAGGTAGGGCGAAAAAAGCTCATTATACTCTCGACTCTTGTTCATTAAACATACTTTTTCAAAGTTTTGTTCAATCATGAATAGTAGTGCGAGTCGAAAACAAGCGTTAAAGCCTTTAATATGTCTTCAAATATAAATAAACATCTCGTTAATATTTTCAGTAGTAAATGGTACCCAATAACAGCACATTTAAGCAATGCAATTTTAGTGGATAAAATGGTAAATTTTTCCGTGCAGTACTGTACGGATTATACGCTCCTCACCGGTTGAGTGTTTGGCCGAGAGTCTCCTTCCTTGTCTGGCCTGGTGCTGTTCTTTTCTACTTTGCGCCGGTCAAACTGAAGGTCACATCGCTACAGAAACTAAACGAAGTGAACGAAAGGTGACAGCAACAACGAGAAAAGGCGCTAACAAACTTAGCAAATTGGCTAAACTAATTTTTATATATATATATATCTCAGTATCTATAAAATACTTTGAAGCAATTTGTTCTCTATACTTGATAGATATTAATGTCCCTGCAAGGACTTATTGAACTTAGATTGCCGAGATCATCAATTTGATATACTGTGGGTACATGTGTCTACGAATACAGCACATCCGAAATAGATTTTGAATTCCTATGTATATGAATGGGCAATAAAATTAATAGCAATCCATACCTTGTCTGCTCCACCAAAAGCAGAGTCCCTTTGAGCAGGATACTCCCAGTCTAAATCGAGGCCATCAAAACCATAATTATGTATGAAATCTATAATCTGTTGGATAAACGTTGCTCGTTTTGAGGCACTCGCAGCTACTACCGAATAAGCATAAGAACCTTGACTCCATCCGCCCATGGCAACTAAAAATTTTACTCGAGGGTACCGAGCTTTAAGGTTCGTCAAATTTCGGAATCCCCCTAGTTAACAAATGAAGACTTTTAGAATGCTTGTCCAACCCAATTTTCATTAAATTAAAATTGTTTGTCAATTTGAAATTTGAGGAGGAATTTCTATGTATCTATGCTATTATATTCCTTGCTCTTACAATTACTATACTAAATCCATTATGTAAAATATCCTGAATGTAGTAAAGTAAGTACAAAACAGTAGACATACCTCGGTTCACGTCAAGAGCAGGATCTAAAATTTCGACATCTTGAGTGGCGTTGTTCAATCCAATGAAGCTGTAGTAGATATGAGTACATAAGGAAGGATCTATATCACTGGTTCCGAAGCTTCCAATGCCTGGCCTATTTATTGCCCAACTTCCGTAATAGCA